AAACGGAACGAATATCTCCGAATGCTCTAGCTATGTGTATCTAGGTCGGGAAGTCAACATGATGAACGACCTAGCTCCAGAGCTGTGCAGAAGGAAACGCGCCGCGTGGGGAGCATTTAAGAATATCGAGGGAGTAGTGAAGAAGACAAAGAACATCCGGCTCCGCGCTCACCTTTTCGACACTGCTGTCCTTCCTGCTTTGACGTACGCCTCGGAGACCTGGACTCTACGAAAGCAGGATGAGCATGCTGTCAGCGTTATTCAACGCGCTTTGGAAAGGACGATGCTCGGAATTTCCCTATACACGCAAGTGCAGAAGGGAATCCGGAGTTCCGAGCTCCGTCACCAAACGAAGATCAGGGATGCCGTTGATTACGCCAAGAAATCGAAGATCAGGTGGGCCGGACACGTTGTGCGATATAGTGATGACCGTTGGACCAGGGCGGTTACTGACTGGATCCCTCGGGACATCAAACGAACTCCAGGAAGGCCGCCAACGAGATGGTTAGACTTCTTCACGAAAGCTCTGAACGAAAGGAATGTTGAACCTCGTGTCCCTGAAGCGAGAAGGATACACTGGACCACTCTGGCTCGTGACAGGGACGAATGGAGACGTTACTGGCGCCCGCTCGAGGAAGTCGATGATCAATGGGACGACAGGTGATACAGATGATATTTGTCGCTCACGATGCGACACATCAGAGTGAGCCATGAACAAGCCAGCACTTCGGAACTTGCTAGTCGGTTTCGAATGTACCTCACTCAACTGAATTGACGAGCCTATAACGGAATCTTGTGGCCAAAAACTGCTCATACCCGTGTCCTTGTAACGTGTTCAACTACCGATGCAGGATTTCGGGTGTTTTTAATTAAACCGTAAAGTTTTACGTTTACCTTATTTGCGTAGAGAGCAGCTTTTATCGAAGTTGTGCATATCTCATACGTTTCTGGGAGCGAGTACGAAAAGAGTGCACAGAACAACAGAATCGATAGCAAAGAAGCAAATCTCATGCCCTGGAATTTTTTTTTTGTAAATCAGCGTTTTGAGATCCTCTGAAAAATGTAATTTCTCCCCTTGAGCTTTGCCTTATAATTTATACTAATTCAGTCCACACATGGTTACCCCAGTCCTCCAATATGGGGCATCGAGGGGGTAGAAAGTGAGCTAAAGTTTGAGTTACTATTTTGAGTCAAAGTTAAAGGAAGGTCGTTGTGGTACGTATGCGGCAGGGCTCTTCACTGGTGTAGGCTGGAAACTTCGACGATTGAACAACTCGATGAAAATTTGTAATGAGAACGTGAACAATGCGTCAGAGACTTTTATACCTCATACAATTCATAAATCTATAAGGAATTTTCTAATAACGAGCGAACATTGAAGCATAAGTTTCCAAATATATACCTGAAAAGTTGATGGCATCATTTGATGGCTGCTGTTTTACAGATACGCGAATGACTCAACGAAGGTGGGTTGCTTGAGAGACGGGGGTTGGAATGGGGGTCTGATGAAAAATGTTTCCCTCCGATCTAATTTTGTGAAGCAACATTGCTGTAATTTATTCCATGTGACTCTTCCGCATTCGGAAAATGTTAGGAAAACTTACCAGGCTAGAGCTGTCGTTTCCGAGTGCTCAGTGCTTCATATGAAATAACGCAGTAACTGGCTTTTGCTTCCCGCCTCCGCCATCTTGTCTTCTGTCCTGGAACCAGATCCGTTAGTCGCCCAAAGATCGCAAAGGTTTATCGACCCCATTCGCGAGATCCCCCATTTTCTTGTCAGGTCCCAGGTTAGGTCTTTGGCCATGGGTAAAGATTCCAGCCCGTCATATGGTACAATAAAAGTTAAGAGCCTTATTATTATTATATAATTACTTATTCGGAACTGTCTCCATCCCCAATTTTTGGTAAAAATGAGAATCTACTTCCATGTCCTCAACCTTTTATCTGGGGCTTTTATATACGCTTCCTGATTATTTTTATGTCGGATTTTAGTGCCGTCCGAGTTAGGCTGTAAAATAGACAAGTAAACAATTACACAAACTACTGGGACCATCATTCTGGGGGGCTGGTCAAATCAATATTTATATCATTTAATCTCTGCAAATGCAAGTGGAAACTTGGGTTTCTACTGTGTTGTCGTTGTTAAACGGGTTTTCATAGTCTACTTATGGGCCTCACATGTTTCTCCTGCTTCAAATTGGTCATGATTGATTCCTCTAAGTGGGAGAACGTATGTATTTTTGTCTTTGCTCAGTGATTTCCTATGCAAGGTAGTAAAGTAAATTATGGAACAAGTTAGTAAAAGTATGCCTTTATTCGAGTGAACCACAGTAGTACGGTAATATATTTATCAAAGATTCCCTGAGTATCACAGAATCAAACAAGCAAAATATCATTCATCACATTGTTAACAACAGTATTATCTCTAAAAAGTAGCCAGTTTTGGTGCGGCTTCTTCTCCGGAGTTGTTCTCATGCAATTCACGCATAAATTCAAGGCCACGATCGAGTTCTGCTATGAATAGTATGTCCAGATAGACGACGTACGCTACCCAAACAATTGGTGGCAGAGCACATAGCAGAAAAATTGAAGCCACAACTAGTACTGAAAAAGTAAATGAAAATTCCAATCAGTGATAAAAAAAAACTGTTTACAATGGATAGCGGGCCATACTCTTCTCTTATTGGCTACCACGGAGACCCACCATTGAGAGATTGCCTAGCAAATACTGTACTTCTCAGATTCAAGATACGGAATGATCAATACCGATTTATTTGTCAACAGAATTGGATTTGGAAATTCAAACAAAGCACATCAAAAAGCTTTTTTTGGAGTTAGTTTTGTATTGGTATAAAAAGATAAAAGACCTACCAATATGTGATGAGACAGAATCAGACACATGAACGGTATATACCAGTGATTCGTTACGTTCTGTTCGTAATAGAGCGATTGCGAGCAAACCAAGAAGGACGAGATCGTAAATAAAAAAGACCACCTGAATGAAAGATGCAAATTACTTCTTTATTAACCCTGCTCCTTCACCAGATGTTTTCGAAGACTTGTATAAAACATATTGCTATTATTTTGAGTAATTGCTCCAGAAATCATGACTTATTCGCTTAAAAAGGATCTCGATAGGGAAGATATGAGATGATAAATCCTTTTCCAGAACGATGTGGGATGGTAGCGAAAGGACTGCTCCCACACGATTCGTGGAGTGAACGATCAGTCCGACTGAGGTCCCCCTTCTGGTGTGACCGCTTCTCTGGTACCAGCCTATTGTACGAGCACGACAACATTGTATTGAAAGTAGGTACGTACTGTATTGGTCGAATTCACTACCAATTGCTTCTACAATTTTGACTAAAAGCCGAGTTGATGGCGTATAGGTTGTAGTAATCACTGTTATTTTTTTATCGCTGGTATACCAGCTGCTCCGCCATGAAGGACGACCGTGGTGGAGGGGGACGTTGTGGTGAAACTATTCCTCCGGCCGGCCCTTCAACAGTAATCTACCTACCCACTGTGAGAAAGAGTCTTGATTCTTCACGTACTTACTTGATTTTCATTATTTTGTTAAGGAATTAGAGAAAATGAAGATGATGCCGTCGAGAAGTAAAACGTTTTCAACAAATGCAGGACCCTTCTTGGCCTATAACACTGTGAAGGGCCAGACTGATATTAATGAAGAATTCTTCAGATTGGAGCTCTACTGGTGAAGTTGTTCCCTGTGAACCGCAGTATCGGAATTCTGGATGGAATCGACTAGCAGTAAGCAGGATGTCTAGTTTGTACCGTCAGGAAGTTGACGGCTCATTGAGCAAAAATCGTACGGAACTTTGTTTTCAGTACAAAAATATACAGTCATTATGTAGAGTGTGTATTGTTAATCCTTTGTAAATAAATAGATTTTAAATAAGAAATTTTGTGGCAGTTGTTGAAGCAGATATCTATGTCTCAAGATAGTCACGAGTTGCAGGTTAATCAATGAATCTTATAAATGAATATGACCATTTCATTCTAATCTTCACAGTGAATATATTTTTGTTTAAAAACTCTGAGAAACTTCGGATTACTAGTTTAGTTCCTGTTTCATACCTGTAAAAAGACGAAAGGCACAAGACACAGTTTGCTTCCTCGAAACGCCCCGTAAACCGTTGTTATAGCTACCGAGCCTGAAATGGAATCCCTTTGAATCATGATGTTCTCTTTGAATTTTACTATGAAGTAACTTACCTAGTATGATTGTAGCAAACATGATTGCAGTTGCGTTACCAAAATATATCATAAAAGTTAAAATCAATCCATAAAATGGGATGACGCCAATGCTGATGATCTTCGTGAGGAACTGAAATTGTCATGATTTAAGGGGCTTGATAAGAATAGAATAGTGAAAATTTTGATCCTCAATTGAAAGGGTGAATCAATCAATATTTGGCACAACTCTTAAATTTATTTATTTTCTCTCTGGCTTCAACCAACAAAACTTCTGGCGGATTGATTTCGGACGGGCAACTTCAATATCCAACTATGAGATCAGTTTATTGAGGGAGGTAAAAAAGGTAAGACAAAAAAAAACTTGAACATTCTATTATTTCGCAACAAAGTATTTGAAAAATGGTGCAAATTGAAACAAAAAAAACGAAAGTTGAAAAGAAACGCTAGGCGTTAATTATTTCCGTTTCGGAGTGCGCCACGCTTCAGCTCTTCAGTTTTGACCATGTTTGAGCCTAAGGGTTGCCAAAATAATATGATTAAAGCTACTCTAATAAGAATCTAACCAGAGAATAACTTCTAGAACCAACAAATCATATTTAGCAGTCGATAGCCGGTAGGATAAGTCTATTGCTAAACAAGTAATGGATGGTTCAGATGAGCTTCACGGGATTTTTTCTATCGTCAGCCTACAACTGCAAAAGTTGTTTTAAGTTAGCTATAAAATGTTTTTCCCATTACTTTTCAAGAAAAAACGCCGTCCTGATCTACCACTCAACTTGACCTACCAATCGAGATTGATTTCGGCATTGGCCACCCATTGAGCAACGTCCTATTCTAGAACCTTCCCTCGCTATATTTAGTTGTGCTACTCCTTTTTCTTCTCTGTTGACCTAATTGTTCAACCTTAATCTTTTAGAATTTCCTTTTTTCCAAATTCTTTCCCATCACTTTTGGGGCCTACTTCGGTCTCTGATATAGCCATTACTACTGTGTAGTAGTTGTTCTACTAGTAAGTTAACTAGGTGGTACCGCGAAGTACATTATACAATACAACTCAACGGCAGTGGTAGTCCAAGAGGTGCTAGAGTTTAATGACCCTTCTTCAGACCTTTGAAAGCATTGTTACGGGTTCGAATATAATTCGGTACCCATTGTCGATATTATATCATCAGTATCCATCGTTATCACTGACTATTATTTAGTATTATTGTAGCCGTGTGCGTTGATGGCAACTGGACTTCAGCAGCTAGTCACCAGAACGGTAGAGGTTATCGCTGGCCTCCGTTTCAGGGAATTGATGATCAAGATGTAGGTTAGTAAAGATGTTGATATTCATTAAATGTAATAAATGTAAATCATTCGAACACTTAACTC